TCATCTCTAATTATTTTTTTAAACTATCTTTTTATGTATGAAAATAATATTCGTAATATTTTTTTAATTTTAAAGACAATCATTTAGATAACGTAATAACACCACCACTACCACCACCACCACTAACAACAACAACAACAATAATAGTAATAATAATAATAATAATTATTATTATTATAGCAATAATAATAATTTATATCAACAAGAATCAGAATGAGAATAATTTAAAACCACACATAAAAAATTTTTAAAAAGTTTTTTTAGATTTTACAATTTATTCTAGTTTTTTCAGTTTCTTTTAATTTTTTCCTGTTTTTCCAGTTTTTTCCAGTTCCTTCCAGTTTCTTCCAGTTTCTTCCAGTTCTTCCAGTTTCTTCCAGTTCCTTCCAGTTTTTTCCAGTTTTTTTCCAGTTTTTTCCAGTTTCTTCCAGTTTCCAGCTTTTTTTTTCCAGTCCTAAAGAACAGGCCCTAAGTGCGTGTTATAGTAAATGTTGTTAGAGCATCTCCAACCATCTTGCTTTGCCTTGCTTAAAGCCATAATATAGCAAGTCAACTCATTTTTCTCTTCTCCAATGGGTGTTTTAAACTTTAGCAAGCTTGGCAAAAAATAATTTTGGTTTGCTAAATATAACAAGCTCTTCAAATTATAGGAAGTCAAGAGTTGTAGAATGGATTAACAAGTCATGGTTGGAAAATGAATCAAAATATCACTTGCTATATCACTATTCACTAGTTAAAATATAAAAATAGCAAGCAAATATAGTAAACAAGGTGACTTTGAGCAAGCAATGGAAAAGGCCTGGACCTGTCACCGGCGTGGAAAGACCGGATCTCTAAACATGGTCTGAAATTGTTTTTGTATGGTTTCACTGGTTATTGCTACAGTCGATGCGAAGAAATCCTCCAGGCAATGGTTTTTGGTAGGGGTGGGCATGGATCGGGACGGTCCGGATTTTAGGTTGTTCCGGTCTTGTCCCGTTATATATAAACGGTCCGGAACGGTTCGGATTACAAACTTATCCCGGTTTGTCCCATAAAATTCGGGATCGGAACAAACCGGGACGGATTCGGGTCGTCCTACTTTGTCCTAATCCCAAATATAAGAGGGGGGTACTCAATCCAAAAGTCACAAAATGTCATAGATAAAAGTCATTAACTTCCTAAGACATCCAAAAACTAGTTGTGTTCATATACACCAAGCAATTAGCTACTGTCATTCAAAAAAACAAAAGCAGTAGGTAGTATTGCAGTAGCCATCCAGCAAAAACCAAAAATCAGCATTTAGATGATCAGTGAGAATCATGGTAGTTAATCAATTGGGCCAAATAAATTTAATAAATTTTGGGTTGAAACTTGAAGTTAACTTAATTAATTAAAGAATGAGTGTATAGAATTAGAATTATATATTAATAAAATAGATAAAACGGGACAAACGGGACGGATCGGTATAAATTTAAGTTGTCCCGCTCATGTCCCATTTGATAACGGGACGGAACGGGTTCGGGATAAAAAAGTTGTGTCCCAATTATTCGGTACATTTACAAAACGGATTCCGGATTTTTCGGAACGGTCCAACGGGAACGGATTTCGTGCCCACCCCTAGTTTTTGGTGCAATTTTTTTTTCTAAGAGAGCAAATTGTTCAAACCGTCCCAATATTTTTTTGTTTGAAGTTGATTTTTTAAAAAGGGATTATCTTCTAGTGTTGATTTTGTTTTAACTAGATTTTGTATCCGTGCATTGCATGGCCAATGATTAATATAAATATGAAGATCAGAAATGTAATATAATTAATGTATGAATTCAAATTCAAATAGAACTAAATATAAAATGAACATGACGTCTAAAGAAGACATGTGCTCTCAAATCCATAAAAATATTTTTAAAAAATTAAAAACCTAAAAGTGAAAAAAGTTACTCCGTAAAAAAATTAAAACAAAAAAAAATAAAAATGAAGAAGTGAAGAAAACAATTGAAAAATGAAGAAGCAATAAATACCAAAGGAAGTAAACATAAAAAGGAAAGCAAAAGAACAAAAAAAGGTGTTTTATCAAAATGTGTTGCTAGAATATTTTTGTTGATAGTGCTATAGAGTTTATAAACTAGAAAATAAAATGGAAAATGAAATAGTGTGGATTTGGCTATGTGACTTTTTGTGCCACTAAATTTATTACTCCGTATATGAATAATGAGATTATTATTCTTTTTTCATATGGATTACCTTTATTAGATCTCATTTTTCCCTTGTATAATTATTTTCATTTAAAATAGCATTAAAAAATTCAAAATACTCCCTCCATCCCTCTATACTCATTCAGTATTCTTTTTTGGATCGTCCTACCATATTTGTCCGCTTTTTATTTTTTATAAATAGAGTTAAATAATTTTCCAACTTTACCCTTATCACTAATCCCCATCCGCCCCATCCACCTCATTTACTACCCTACCCTCCCAACTAATCCATCACCCTATCCCACCCATATCGTTTACGGAGTACAATTTTACACTCTTGCAATGTTATCGACATTTATCTCCGTCTCTTCTTCTTTGGCTTGCTTACACTATCACTTTAGAGCAGGGATGGGATTCGATCGTAGTGATGGAAATTCCCTTAACTTTTCAATCGAAAAACACCGCGGGGACAATTAATTGAATCTTCTTGCATTGATAAAGTTCTGGAATTCGAAGAGGGCAACAATGGAGTGCACGATGATGTTCTTGCGTCCCATGGCCTAAAATTTTCAGATTGGGGTGGTGATGATGGAATTATTGTTCCAGACTTTGAAGATGGCGACGGTGATTAGGACTTTGATGTCTCTGAGTCCCATGACCCGCAATCTGTAGGTTCTTCCGGTGATGAGGGCATTATTATTCCTGACTCTCAAGAGGGCTATGATGATGAGGACTTTGATGTTTTTGAGTCCCATGGCCCCAAATCTGCACATTTAACCAGTGTTGAGTATTTTATTGTTCCAGACTCTAAAGATGGTGACGATGATGAGGACTTCGATGTTCCTAAGTCCCATGACCCCAAATCTGTATATTTAGCCGGTGTTTAGGACATTATTAGTTCCGACTCTCAAGATTGTGATGATGAGGAATTTGACGTTCCTAAGTCTCATGACCCCAAATCTCTATATTCAGGTGGTGTTGAGAACTTTATTACTTCCTCCGTCCGGAAATATTCTTCTCACTTTCCTTTTTGATCCGTCCGGAAATATTCTTCCCATTTCCTCTTTTAGTATAATTTTTAAGGATAAATATCAATAATACCCTTCTATTTTATCACAAATCTACTTTTTTAGTACTTTTTTAATAATAAAAGGAGATTTAAAAGTTTATAGTATGTGCATTTTTGAAAATTTTACATTTTTTTACTATTTCTTAATAAGCGTGTCAAGTCAACACGGGAAGAATATTTTCGGACGGAGGGACATACTCTGAAGAAGGATAAAATCTAGTTATTCCATACAATTCATCATCTAATCCATTTATGAGGGAATGAGAAAGTAATGTAATTAGTTCAAGTGCTAAAATAAAAATAAAAATTTAAAAATATAATATGCTTATTGTAAAGCAAACATCATTCCGAATTTATCGATTTTAGTTCTAACCAGGTTCAGATATTATCGGTTTTGGATCAAATCAGTTTCGGGTTTTATTGGTTTCAGGTATTTTTGGTTTCGGATTTAATCAGTTTCGGGTGTGATCAATTTGGATATTATCGGTTTCAGATTTAAATCGAATATGAATTATTTACTTCGGTTTGGGTTCGATTCGGATCATTTTGGGTTTTCGGCTATAGATTAGATCTTCATCTTTCGGATCATTTCAGTTTCGGTTTCGGATATTTGAGTTCGGGAAACCGACTCTGATTCCGTTTTGCCAGGTCTAATAGTTCATATATGCTTTGGATGTTACTTTAGAGTACTATTGGATTTAATGATAATATTTTTATCCAGTTCAATATATTTTACTCTCTTCTTTTGTAACGAAACATTTAATTAATACTCCATTCTTTCTCAAAAATACCTTTTCTTTTAGTTTTTCCACTTCCAACGAAACACTTTAACTTTCTATTAAAAAGCTAATTTTACCCTTACTTTTTTATATCCTACCTATCACATCATACATTTTCTCTAATAATCTATCTATCACATCTTACTTTTACATATCACATCAAGGACAAAATTGAAAGTCAACTACAATTTAACACTTCTTTAATTTTATACTTGGTCAAAATAGGAATTCTTTTTTAGAACGGAGGAAGTAAGTAGGATATTTTTTTACCTTTAAATCAATGTAATAAGAGTATTTGTTTATGATATATTAAAATGAGTTTAGTCCTCATTTGATCTATTGTAATATTGATGTAAAATTTAAACAAACAATATATTTTCAAAACTACACTAAAAGATAGACTCCCTTTGTTTCAATTTATTTTGTCTATTTCAGTTTATGATGCAGACTTTAAAAATTAAAGGTACATCTTAAAATATTACAACAAAAAATATATAAAATAGATAATTATTTTATTTTATCAAATGGCTACTAAAAAGAGAAAAAAAGACAAAGAATGAAATTTGATCTTTTATTTTGTTATTTATTTAACAATATTATAACAAAAATGCTAAAAATTCAAAACAAAAAATTTGTTCCACCACGTGAATGACACATGTTAAAATACTAGTTTTAATAAAAAATGATTGAGTATACAATTTTATGCAAATGATGGAGTATTATTGTGTGAGAGTCCCATTAGTATATTCAAATCACATGACCTATTTTCTGTTTGAGTAATGTAATAATCACAAATAAAATATTTACAAAATATACAAACCTATGAAATATGTAAAGTAATGAGTTGAAATAATAGTCTCAAATATTTTAAAATTAAAAATAAATTACATAAATAATGAATTTGTGTATTTTGTGTCTAGCATTACTGTTAATGTTTCCAGAGCGGGGATATCCGTTTGCTGTTAAAAGCTAACAGAATTGGGTATTTGTCTGAATGCCATTCCTTCAACAGCCGAAGCTCGCATTCGTCTCCTTCCTAACATTGTTGTCGCCCTCTGGTGTCCACAAACAAAAACAAAAAAAAAAAATATTTTGCTCTTGTATCCGCCCAGCACGTACATCAATTCCTTTTGCATATGATAATGTTTGAAACTTTTCCCCCAAGAAGAACATCTCCTCATCAGAATCTGGGTTTAATTGATTGAGGAGCAAAAGTTCGTCTCTGAAGAAAAAAATTCCAAAGAAGAAAATGGGAGGAGGAGGCGGCGGGGGGAAAGGATCGAGAGAGCTCGACCAGACACCAACATGGGCCGTTGCATTAGTTTGTCTGGTCATTGTAGTTATTTCCTTGATGCTGGAAAAAGTTCTTCACAAAATTGGATCGGTGACCTCGAATTTCTCTCCTTTTCTTATCTTTTCTGCACTTCTTTTCCCCCCTTTTTGAGATGTTTTGGCTGCAGAAGCTAATGTTTCCCGTTTATTTTAAGCTACAATTCCTGGGTTTTATTTTTTTTGTGTATTTGCGTAAACATATCAAATGCACCAAATACAAAAATTTCCTTTTGAAATATTGGGTTTTGGCCAACATGAGAATTATAAGCGTGCATTATTTCTCAAATTTTTAAGCAGATTAAATAACGCGTTGCTCCTCCCATTGGGTATGGTGTATACAACATGGGAATCATTGTTCATATCAATGATGATTTCGTAGGCAAAGAAACGTTTGAGCACTGTGTTGTATTGAAGCAGGATTTTATTTCGATCTCGTTGTTGATTAATTGCTTTTACTTTCAGACATTTGAGAGGAAACGAAAAAAAGCTCTGTATGAAGCTTTGGAGAAGATTAAAGGAGGTAGGAACTCCAACCTTTTGCTGCACGAGTAGGCTGTACAAGAGTTCCGATTAGTTGTAGTGACTTCTCTACCATACCCAAATCTTTTTTCCTGCAGAGCTCATGGTTTTGGGATTTATTTCTCTGTTACTGACATTTGGGCAAAACTACATTGCTAAGATATGTATTCCCGTAAAAGTTGCCAATACCATGCTGCCATGCCCAGCCAAGCATAAGGAGCACAGCGACAATGGAGGCGAACATCATAGAAGGCTTCTATGGAATGGGCGTAGGATTTTATCATCCGATAGTGCACCCGGGGAATGCAAGGATGTATGGCCTACTCCATTCAGTAGATTTTCGTACCATCCTTTCATGTAAAATTGGTATTGTGTGGCATTGGGGTTTTAGGGTGGAAGAGAGTTTTGTGATGTAAAATAACACCCCAATATATTCTTTGAGAATGGGAATGTGTCACATCATACATTTTTGTAGAATGCGCCAAGACCTTTTATGTAGCATGAACTATTGTCAATTCTAATCACAAAAAATGTTTCATTTACAGGGACATGTACCGCTGATTTCTCTCAATGGTTTGCACCAGCTACACATCTTCATATTCTTTTTAGCTGTAGTTCATGTCATCTATGGTGCTATAACAATGCTGCTTGGAAGAATGAAGGTAGGACTTTCCAGTGTCCTTGCAATTTACCATTAACTGCAATATATAGCCTGTTTGTTGGTTGGTAATCTCCGGATAGGTTGCTTATTTTTGTTTTGTAGTGCCCTTAAATGCTCTAGAGATTTATTGCCTCATTAAACCATGGCATCTTTACAAGCTTGGATGTCCTTCTTCAACAATTATAATCAGTTTTCATGATTGAGTTGCAGTATCTTTCTTTTCTTATATGCAGTTTCTTTTCTTATATGCAGATCCGAGGATGGAAGGAATGGGAACGTGCAACTGGTCAAGATGAAGTAGCCAATGGTATTTCACTTAGATGACGAAATATGCCCAAACAATTTGAATAGCCATTGCTGCTCAGTTATTTCTATTTCCAACTGAAACCCTTCTTCACATGTCCTTGCAGATCCTTCAGTTTTCAGGCTTACGAAAGAGACTTCTTTTGTGAAAGAAAACACCAGTTTCATGACTCAAACACCAATTCTTTTCTACTCTGTAAGAGAGATAAGAAACAAACAAAGAATGGTTATAATTAATTAGTACAACCAAAAAGTGAAGAAAATGAAAATAGGATGGCACAACAATATGTAATATGATTGCTTGCTTTGAGCTCCTCTACGTATGATCATACTACTGTTTCTGTAAATCAAATATCAACACCAGTGCAGTGATTGCTTAGTTCTTTTGCTTTTCAGGTTTGCTTCTTCCGGCAATTTTTTAGGTCAGTTCGTAGAGCTGACTACTTGGCTATGCGCCACGGATTCATTTCGGTGAGCTTTTTTAACAACACAGTACTCTTGGGGTTGTGTTGAAATTTTCTTGAAGCCAATATTCTCCTCTCATAATAGGAGATTAAAATTGATATGGTGTTGATGGCCCCTTTTTTCTCTACTATATTACCTACAGGTCCATTTAGCTCCAGGAAGTAAGTTTGATTTTCAAAAGTACATTAAAAGATCATTGGAAGATGACTTCAAGGTTGTTGTTGGAATTAAGTATGACCCTTATTTGATCTCAAATCCTCCTGAAGAATATTTGTTGTTTCTGAGCTGTCTTTTAATTGTTCACGTCATAATTGCCTGTCTGTTTATCTTTGTGCTTTGTTCAGTATGGTGTTATGGTTGTCAGCAGTGCTCTATCTGCTGCTGAATGTTAATGGTAGGCTTTTATTTTATTTTATTTTTATATGTCTTGCCCATAGCAAATTCTAGCAAACTTGGTTTTTACATTTTTAGTTGAACTCAGCGTATTTTTGTTCAAACTATTTCAGGATGGCAAGCTATGTTTTGGCTGTCCATAATGCCTTTAGTTGTAAGAATTATCACATGCAATATGATATCTCATTTCATTCATGTGCATTTCCTTTCTAGTGAATTGCTAACTCGCTTCTGCTTTTGTAAAGACAATATTAGCAGTTGGGACAAAGCTTCAAGCAATAATAGCACAAATGGCCATTGAAATCCAAGAGAGGCATGCTGTAGTCCAGGGCATACCTCTTGTACAAGTTTCAGACAGACATTTTTGGTTTAGCAAGCCAAAGTTAGTCCTTTATCTTATCCATCTAACCCTATTTCAGGTACTAATCCTACTCTTATCCCCACATAATTATGTTTATTTGTAATCTAAATATTTTAAATGTTTGAGTCTAATAACACAACATTTATTATGCACACATTTATCACAGCATATGGAGCATGATTTTTTTGTTCCCTAGACATTCTAACAAGGCACCTTTCTTCTTTAACATTTTTCAGAATGCATTCGAGATAACATATTTCGTCTGGATATCAGTAAGAAATGATCTCTTTTGTTTTCTCTTCATTTATGTGGTGCAATCGAATAACAAATTGTGTCCATTGGCAGTACGAGTTTGGGCTTCATTCCTGCTTCCACAGTAACTTCTATCTTGCTGTTCTAAGAGTTTGTCTTGGGTAATTTCAAGTTATTTTCTGTATTATTTGTATGCCCATGATGAACCATTATGGTCTAAAAAAATTTATGCTAATTTGCTAGGCTTGGAGTACAATTCTTGTGCAGCTACATTACGCTTCCATTGTATGCTCTTGTTACCCAGGTACTAAGGCTGTTTCCTAGAATCTGCATTTCACATACCGATACAAGGGGTATTCAAAAAGGGACTCACTCTATGATTAATAGGTCTCATTCATTGATTGCCCTTCACTTATCCCCTTTCTTCTATCATTCTCTTCTTTCAGATGGGATCAACGATGAAGAGGTCCGTATTCGATGACCAGACTTCAAAAGCCCTGATGAAGTGGCATAAAAATGCCAAGGACCATATAAATGTTCCAAAGCCAGGAGCTATCAAAACCACAACACTAGGAGGTAGTCCGGGTGACTCGCCCAACCATTCCCCCCGCGGGCACCCATCAGGTGCTATGCATGTGGTCAGCGTGGCAAACCAAAATTCTGGACAGATGGCTAACATCATTGCCAGTGTGGATATTCCATTGGACAGTCCACCGGGCGATGGCAGGTCCCACGGGACTGACCTTCTCACAGGTCCTTAAGAGAAGAAAAAAATGATGCAAAAAGCCTGGAACGATGGTTAATTAATTAACGATCGTTCCTAGGTGGTACATATATACATGGTAGTTAGTACATATATAGGTTGTCACAAAATTCATTGGATGTCTAGTTGGAGATATTCGTATGCATTTTGTGCTGGTTTGTAGCAGTTATGAATCACTGGAAGGCCAATTGCCCAGTTTGGTCGTTCATTAAACACATAGGAGTTTTTACCGCACTTTATAGAAACCATTCTTCTAACGATTGGGCCCTTGTTTGTTGTAAAATATTTTATTGTCTCTAATTGAGCTTGCTCATTTTGTATTTCCTCACATATTTTTAGGATGCATTCTGTTCAACTTACTTTTTATGCTTATTACTTATGCTTATTATAAACAGATCAGACCATATTAGAAATAGGTCTAACTATGATTGCAATCAGATCAGATCAGACCACATCAGATTATCAAAAAATCATATCAGATCAGGCCAACAGAACGCAACCTTAATAAGCTTCTTGTAGATGCATTCATTGATGTTGCATTCTACTTCCTCTGTCCTTGAGTATTTGTCCACTTTGGACTTTTTTCGGTCAAGATTCGTAAATTTTGACCTCAAATCAAATAAAAATAATATTAGACATTGATACAAAATAATTTTATTAGATTTATTATAACAAGTATTTTCAAAATATTATTTCATCTAATGAATATACAATATATATTTTATTTAATTATAGGTCCAAGGTTGAAAATAGTTAAACGAAAAAAGTCAAAAGTAGTTAATCGAGCACCATGCTTCTTTTGACGTTGAATTTCAATGTCATATTCTAACATCGAGTACCTATGGTGGTTTGTTGGACCGTAAATAATTCTTACCTCTGTGACCTTTGCCCCCAATTAGGAAACAGGAGGAGGGCTAAGGGGCTGGAGGTGGGGTGCAAGGTGATTTATGGGCATGAAGTGCATTCGGGTCCAACGAAGTACTATATGTGCTCTAATGGACAAATGTGATTATATGATATTTGGAGTTTGCAACATGAGAACCTTACCTTAATCTGTTGAAAAAATTGCATGTTTTTTTATTACCATGAAGCATAATACTTCAGGACAAAAATGTCGACAAAGCAGCTTAGTGAAGCCAGAATCAACAATGGAAACCATCCTAGTTTAGTTTAAGCTTATACACATCATTCTTTGTCACATCATCAAGTAAACTCTTTTAAGTCACAAATTTTATTCATAATTTAATTATCACATAAAAAAGAAAGCAAAAAGATCCTCTAGTCAACTTTAGCTCCACATAGCTCCTCCTTGGCTCCTTAGAAAATTAAATTCACGAGTGACAACACTCTTCAATAGCATTAGATATATGATAGCAATAAGAAATACGTGAGGAAAGCTTGATAAACTGAGATAATCATGTGAAACACGTTTTCAGATTAAAGTTATTTCAGATTATACCCAAATAATTGAATCAAATAGTATCTAAATTGAGTGTTGAAGTTCTGTATATCAGAAGCATACCGTGGGACTAATATATATATATATATATATATATATATATATATATATATATGGCTGGTTCCCGTGAGAATGCACCTTGTGGAGAGAAATGAGAATAAAATCTAGCCGTCAGATCTGATGCATCGTGTGGCTCAGATTACATCCTGCGTTCAGATTTTGAGATAGTGCATTTTCGAAGGTTTATGGTGCATTTCAACGTGATGCATTTTCGAACCATTTTGGTGCATCTAATTTTGATGAAATCTTGACCCTTAGATCTCACAATCCAAAGCACCAAATTCATTCTCATTTCTGTCCTAAGATTGCATTCTCACCAGAACCTATATATATATATATATATATATATATATATATATATATATATATATATATATATATATATATATATATATATATATATATATATATATATATATATATATATATATATATATATATATATATATATATATATAGGTTCTGGTGAGAATGAGATCTTAGGAGAGAAATGAGAATAAATCTGGTCCCTCCATCTTGATACTCATCTAATGTAACGCACAAGGGCTGGATGGTACTTTCGACTCTCGCCCCTTATTCTCGTTTCCTTTTTTCCGTCTCTCTCGCCCGAAGAATCAGCGCACGTATCTCCTTCCTTGTTGAAGATGCTGAAATTCAACCTTCTCCTTCTATTCTCGTTTCAATATCACAAAACATCGGAACTTAAATTCGAGGATGCCATATTCCGATGCCGTGTTCATGGATCCGGATTCAGGTTTGTGTTTTAATCCGTCTTCACTTTATTCATGGATATTGATTCATTTTATATCATGTATTTTCCCACACCAAATTGTGTTCTAATCCGCCTCTACAACTACACACAAAGTCGGATTCTTCAACGGAACATTTCACTCAAGCCGGCGATAGTGGGTTCGTTCCCCCCTGCCCCGAAAGCTCCAAACCATGTGTTGGTATGTTTTTTAGAAATTTAGATGACGGAATTGCATTTTACAGAGAATATGCAGCCCTCGTCGGTTTTGATGCACGAAAAAGCACGACAACGAAGTCTCCCGATGGTGTGATCATATGGCAGTATGTTGTTTGTAATAGAGAGGGTCAAAAGAATGTTTCTGTCACTGCTAAGACTCCAGTTCAAGACGTTGCAGACTCCATTCCAAAAAAAAGACGATGCATTTCAAACCGCATCGGATGCAAGGCACGTGTAATATTTAGATTGTCTGGGTCAGATGGTTATTCTATCACTTCTTTCAAAGAATGTCACAATCATTCTATGCTTTCCGCTTCTTCAAGGCCTTTCTTAAAAGTAAACAGAAATCTAGATATTGGTCACAAGAAATTCATGTTGAATTGTGTTAAGGCTAATATGGGAATAATGAAGTCCTACCGCCTTTTCAAAGAGACTGTAGGTGGTTATGATAAAATTGGAGCCACGGCTGTTGACTTTAAGAATTTTAGACGAGACCTCAAAGCTTACATTGCTGGAGGGGATGCACAAATGGTTATTGACAAGCTGTTTAGAAAACACGAGACTTGTTCTGCATTTCACTTTGAATACGATGTTGATGATAACGACCAACTTACAAGGTTATTCTGGTGTGATCCTGTTGCTAGGAAAAACTATGCCATGTTTGGTGATGTAGTCTCGTTTGATGCGACTTATGAGACCAACAGGTACTTTGCACGTGCATTCTGCTTCTCATGTGTTTCTTGTATATTCAATCTACTTGTTAGTTCATTACTTTTTTCCACTGTAGTATTTCACGTCTTCATTTATCCATCAAATTTTTATCTCTTTCTGTACAGATACAATATGATATTTGCACCATTCACAGGCGTCGATAATCATCAAAAATGCATTACATTTGTTGCTGGGTTGATCAACAAAGAAGATGATGAATCTTATGCCTGGCTTTTCCGTTGTTTTCTAAATGCAATGGGTAATGCCCCTAAATGCATCATTACTGATCAAGACCCTTCTCTTTGAGGTGCCGTGATTCAGGGATTTCCAAACTCAACGCCATCGTCTGGAGTCACTATCTAGAGCCAGCTGATTTTGTAATGCAGTGGCAAAATCTCATGGCCGAATATAATTTAGAATCTCACAAGTGGTTTACCAAAATTTTTCAGATACGAACCACGTGGATTCCGGCATACTTCAGAGATTTGTTCATGGGAGGGTTACTGCGTACAACTTCTCGTTCCGAAAGTGAGAACAGTTTCTTTGATGATTTTACAGGGCAAAATTTTAGCCTGGTGGAGCTTCTTATGCAGTTTGAAAGTGCCATGGACTCGCAACGTCATAAAAACGCAGACTACAATGCAGACGATGAAGCATGCTACCCAGAGTTTAAAACTCCATTGGATATTGAGAAGCATGCATCCTCAGTTTACACGTTGACTATTTTCTACGATGTTCAAGCCGAGATATGTGCAGCATGCTTCTCTTGCAGAGTACTTCAAGTCGAAGAACTTGACGACCAACACAACCAATACTTAGTCAAGGACAACAGGGGTATGACATTCACCGTCAGATACTCACGCATTCAAGGCACTGCAACATGCAGTTGTAAGCACTACATGCGCATTGGATTATTATGCAGACACATATTTCTAGTTTTCAAGGATGAGAACATTCGTAAGATTCCAGATCCGTATATCAACCCCAGATGGTGTAAAACAAAATTGTTGAAGCCCATGATCAACATCCCCGACATCGATTTTGATGCTGTTACAGCTGTTGAAGGAAGAAAAACAGCATTGAACCGTTTGTGGTCGGATATTCACTATTGTGTTGCAGCTGCTGAACAAAAACCAGACTTATTTGATGGATTTTCAAAGGTCATTCAACAGCAAAAGAACATCCTCCAAAATGCACTTCAGTCTAATCTTACTTCACCACAAGACCAGATCTTTGAGTCATTCTATGGCGCATCTGCACCATCAAACATTACTGTACGACCCCCCCAACAAGTACACAACAAGGGTGGTGGGAAGAGAATCAAAAGTGCTTTGGAGATTAGCATAGAGCAAGGAAAGAAGAACAAGCGAATGTTTAAAACCTGCCGTGAGATGGGATTCCATGATAGTAGAAATTGCCCACTGAATAAACAGTAATGAATTATCTTATTAAAGTATTTCCCCTCGTAGCAAAACTCATACTTATATATACACTTACCAATGCCTTTGGTCTCAAATATTAAAAAGTATTTTTTCCCTATTAGTAAGCATCTAACAATTCGTTGCAATGCATTCTACGTGCGAATTTGCGCTTGTGTATATCCCATGCTCTCCAAACTTTAATGACGAATGCAGCATACTACAAATGTACTGCATAACTACTATGCTCAATACTCATGTAATGTAAACATATGGTTCAACACAATTGTGGTATAGGGCGCATTTATTGATAAATATAATGCATCCCAGCACATTGATAAATGCAGCCTTCAATGCATTCCATGCTACAATGCATCCCATCCAAACCACATTTACAACTAGAATAAACAGTAGAAATTGCCCACTGAATAAACAGCAATGAATTATCTTATTAAAGTATTTCCTCCCGTAGCAAAACTCATATACTTATATATACACTTACCAAGGCCTTTTGTCTCAAATATTAAAAAGCATTTTTCCCCGATTAGTAAGCATCAAACAATTCGTTGCAATGCATTCTACGTGCGAATTTGCGCACGTGTATATCCCATGCTCTCTAAACTTTAATGACGAATGCAGCATACTATAAATGTTCAGCATAACTACTATGCTCAATACTCATGTAATGTAAACATATTGTTCAACACAATTGTGGTATAGGGTGCATTTATTGATAAATATAATGCATTCTAGCACATTGATAAATGCAGCCTTCAATGCATTCCATGCTACAATGCATCCCATCCAAACCACATTTACAACTAGTTAATGCTTAATGTACAGACAAGTGAGCAAAAAACACAAGACCTAAACCATTCTGAAGTAAAATGCAAATAACTCCATTGCCATCTTACTGAAACAATCAATCTCCAAAATCAATCAAAATTATCTATCACCAACTGATCATTCATATCGATGATATTAGTGTTGAAAACTAGATAAAACCATAAAACTGTAAAAAAAACCCAGCAGCAAAAAACAAAAAACCGGTGTGCAAAAACACCAAAGACGTTTCTGCAAATGTTCAATAATGTTTGGTTTCCAACATCAAGTTGCTGCGAAATTCTTTGCCTTGGTCATATTCTCCTCCTTCATCTCATTCACCTCTGCCAAAACGATGCAAGCACAGTACTTTAAACGCAATGCATTAAAGGCTTTCTGATCATCCCTGCTCAAACCACAGTCCCATCCTTTTACTCCAAGCCCCATGTATGTCTCCATATGGCGCATAGTTGCAACACCGTACTCATGTATGGACGTGGGCTCCCTCCAAGGCATTTTAAGCCGTGTTGGCCGCTGTGTAGCTAGCCTTTTCAGTCTTCCTTCCATCCCTTCGTTTTCAAAGAATTGCACAAGCATGTCACGCTGCATAACAATGTTTACAAAAGGATGAGTAGTGGAACACATTACTTCGTCACCGAAAAAAACCACCCAATGCATTTCTTCAACTAACCAGCATAGCAGGCATCTCGTCGTACTTGTCGTCGGCTCTTATGCATGATGACGAAAGGTCCAACACTTCCAGCCTACTGCCCTTAGTGTTTACACACACACAATAACACCACTTCAATTGCATGACTGGGATAAATATCTGCACCAAATCAAATAGATATGAAACCATTTACTCATATAACAAAACATCACAACATCATATGAATTCTAAAGGATGAATACATATCATTAATAAGAAAGCAAATACAATACCAAATCTGCGCTTAATGGGGTGGTAGATGTCCAATAAGCATCCAATGCATCACAAAAATTACCGAATGCAATGTAATCATCAGGAACTGCACCTTCTGACATATATAACTGCCAACCCATAAATGTTAGCACCACATATCAAAAAATGCATAATACCTTTTAAAAAATGCATCAAAATGCCTTACACATTTGAATGACTTTGCATAGAATCTGGAAGGGGAATCCACACTACGGTACAGCTCCTTGTGATTAAGAATGGTAGACCACGCATCAAGCACAAGGTGCGATATGTGTTACCCAAATTGTAGTGTCATCAAATCACCACGTTTCAACACAACGTCCCCACACTTGAACAACACCTCATCCCTGTGTGTGTACCGACATTTAAAACGCATAATCCCGATACCAAAAAGAATTTCACCCAATACAACAAAAAAATGTATTAATCTTTTCACTAAAGAACTGCATATTACATTATAATCTACAAACCTGGATGCTTCTGTGTTTTTCATCACCCACTTCCAAATTCGAGTTTCGATGCTGCTTGCGTTCTCCCTCAGGTCAACTGCACGTTTCATGTAAGGTGACTTCATGAATAATGTTTTTTTTCCTTTCGCTTTTCCCTCCTGCCAGTTCCTTTCTGTAATCAATAAAAAAGAAACATATACACAATGTGCAACTTTTAAAAACATAGCACTCAGAAGAAATTTTATTTTGCTTAATCCCAGAATCAAAGAATTTACCTGGACTTCATTTAGTCTTTCACCAACTGTTGCATCCACTTCTTTTGCACCAACCTTTCCAAGGATACAACATTTCAAACACACACCGATGCAGCATAAACAGATTACCTAGCATTGTGTGATTATTATGAATATATATTAATACCTGCTCAACAATCTGCTGAATTCTCATACTTTCTTTCTCCTTGTTAACAATATCTGCCCCCACCACAATTTCACCAACCTTCACGAGAAATAAGAATTTCATTATAAACGTTTGCATCAAATCCATATTTCCGTGCATTCTAAGAAAAGTTTTAGACAACACCCAAACCTGTTGGTCCAACACCTGCATTCCTTCATCCCTCTCTCCTGTATCACCAACATCCGCTCCTACCACATTCACAGCAACCTATCCAACAAAAACGAACTTTTATAATCTAATCAACATGCATTGGTAATAGAATGTAATGCATTTTATCCAACGCATAAAAAACACAAAAACCTGTCCACAAACACGGGTGTCCACCGTCGTATCCGTCTCTCTATTCTCACTCCTTGGTGCATCCTCATCATTATATGCCTCATCTGTACCCATCTCCCCCAGTACTTGTGTCATTCCGAGGGAGAAAGACGGGACATCACTCAAAAAATCTTGATATTTTGACTTCACCTCCACAGATCTCTCCACTTCTTCTACAAATGCCATCACCTCTGGGCTGCTCCAATATGCATCATCATCTAAACAATGGATATCTTTCCATTTAGATGACGCGTCAAGAACCGCGTCCTTTTTGTCATCCACCCCCATCAGCCGGTGTCCTAAACCTCTCAATTTACAAAATCTTTCATCCACAAACATTTCTCGTGGTGCCTCCTGAAGCATGTTGATCATGTCAATAATTGTGCTTGCTAGGATCTTGCTTTTGGCTACAAATCTCCGCACAAGCACCTAAACGAATGTAGAGAAATAACTACTACTATCACTCAAAGATAACTTTGTTAGCCAAAATTCTAAAGACTATGAGCCATTAATAATCTATATTACCATCTTCGCATTATCCACCGTGGGCTGTTTTCCGGAGGATGTACCGACATGCTCACCGTTTGTAGCGGGATGGCCAACAGCAACCTCGTTCAACAAAATGCGCTTACCTTTCTCTAATGGCCTGTTGTCATGTCCCATTCCAAAACCTCCGCCCCTCACCTCTTTGTTTTCTCTCTCTCTAAGCTCTTTACCTGTCCACCCCTTTATCGCTGGAAATCGCCTTGGCACGGTATCAGTGAAAATAGCGACACGATCAACGTAAAAAACCTGCAAGCATATCAATGAATTAAATTCACTAAAAAGCATTATATTATAGTAATAATGCACACACTAACAACATACCAGCAACAATACGAGTGGCCCACAAAAATACTTCCTGGGATTTTTCTCCCACTTCATCTTGTTGTCGATCAACTTTTCTAGAACATAGTGTGACCAATTTAACCTTTTCACTCTGCCCACATCTCTAAGGTGGTCAAGGGCCAAACTGTTAACATACCCATGCGACGTACTATCAACCAAAAGCGACATCACTAACAATACAAAATGTCTAATAAACCATTCACCTCCCTGCTTACACCCAAGCATCTCATCAGCTAACTCCGCTGGGGTTATTCGGTTATTACACTTCCCAAACTTCATCCTCCAATCGCTCAACAAATCAGTGTCTCTGTTGCTCTTATTATTCTCAATCTTGACACCACCATACGGCAAGCCAAGTACAGAATGCACATCACACGTAGTCATGTGCATCTTGGTACCATCCGGCAGCACCAAACTACTCCTCCGAGCATCAAAATTCTTCACCAGCCAATAACCTAATCTCCCAGGCAGCTCTAGAATATTCATTCCCAAAATTGAACCAAAACCAATCCTCTCTACTTCTTCCCGCTGCAAATCATTTAGCTGCTTCATCATCTTAGTAATCAAGTGTGGCGATGACCTTGACTTCAACCTAGGATATGGAGCCTTCATATCTGCTAATTTGACTCTCTTTTTCTTCTTTCCTGCACTTTTTATAGGAATGTGACAGACTTCAATAGCGGTGCAATGTCCACTTCCTGTACCCCCCTCTGTCTCAGCTTCATCATCCTCACCTGCATCATTATCAGTCTCACCATCATCATCAGATTCTGCAGGTGCATCAGCAGACTCGTCCTCATGCTTAGAAGCTCCATCCTCCTCACCCTCATCTTCACCTTCCATTTCATTATTGCCATCATCACTTTCCTTCTCATCCAAGATATCGTCACTGTCATCATCGATCTCCATGCGCATAGGTTTATTGATTCTTTCAATCTTCCATTTTACATTCCTCAACCTATCACTACGTCGAATAGGTGTTGCTAACGACATTGATCTTGAACCACCACTCACTTGCAATGCCCTTTCAGCATTCACAGCATGCATTCCTGTAACATACAAAAAAGAATCAAAAATTTAAAAAAGGATCTTATGACAGTGCAATGCATCGCAGTTTCTTAAAAATGACATTTACCCAATCCCTTATCTGGGAGGATGCTGTCAGGATCAAACAAAATGATCAACACAAACCCACATTGGATGCATTAAAATAACCAGCATCAGAACAGATTAAACCACAACCAGTCTCTTCTACCACAAATCAGCACTTTTAATATATAACTTACTGCACCCTACCCATTATGAACCCAAAAAAAGCTCTCAATGTCATAATACATGTCAAAATTTACATTACCATCATTAGCATTATCCACAACCCCTGCCTCTCTTACATCTCCAACACATTGACCTAGAAATGTCAAATGAAAAAAATTAGTATGTATCACACTGCATCCAAACAATAATGTGTACTTTCGTCATTCAAATAAATACCAATGCAACTACTGGAAATTTAATACAACACAACACGATTACAACCAACCATTGCTACACTTAAAGCATGCATTTCTCACAAGTTACCCCTTCTAGTCATAGTATTATTAAAACAACACAATTCATCATGAAAAAGAAAAAACATATTCTCATAAATGCCTTATTCCATTTATGCATCGAAAACAACAACCAATGCACACCATCAACATAGAAATGCATCAGAGTGATGTCCTCAGTATCTATCACAACTCAGTGCTCCTACATTAAGAATCCAAATGCATCTAACTTTTCACACAATCTCATAGAAATGCAGCATCTAAACATGCATTATTCCAAATATGCATTCAATTACTTCTACTAATGCAAAACAAATAGAGAAAAATGCACAACTACAAAACACCCAAATTGCTATGTTCATGTAAGAAAAAATTAAACGACTACACGCCCAACTCATATACCACACCTAAACCCTAATTCCTCAACTTCTTACCACCATCAATTCTTATTCTGCACAGTGCAAAACAAATAGTCGGAGAATGCCACATGCAAGTAAGATCAATTAACATATTAGGCGAAGGAGAAGAAGCAATAGAACAAATTCCAAAAATGCAACAGAAATTTTAAGACATGCAATTGCATCTCCTTAATACCAAGAAATACTACAACTGCAATTCATTGGAAACGATGCAACCACCAGACGCAATTGATTCTAAAACCCTAAAACCATTGAAACCACCAAGTTCCCCAAAAAATAGTGCATACCGAAGAATCCTTTCATTGTACCTTTCTTGGCAGATGCATTCTTCGTCCTCCTCAAGAACACCATCGAATTTCCGGCACGGTATGCATCTTCGTTGCTCGCCATCGCCAGCACTTGCGACTCCCGTGAACGTGCTTAATATTGGTATAATATTGGTATAAAAATAACGAGAATGAGTACTATGCGGACTCTGCAGCTTCAGAATTGGAAAAGGAGAATAAAACTTTTAATTTTGGTAAGCGGAAATGGCGGCATCGTGATAGGCGCACGTCCAATAAAGCAAAATCGAATGACGGAAATGACCCTCCAATTAACCTCGCCTCAAAAAATGCACCCTAATTATAACAATCCGTATTTAGATGTAAAATGGCGGCCCACTAACTCTAAAAATGACAGCCGCAAGATCTAGTGCATCTAACGGATGAAATTCATTCTCATTTCTCTCCACAAGAGTCATTCTCACAGGAACCGCCCTATATATATATATATATATATATATATATATATATATATATATATATATATATATATATATATAGGGGCCGATTCCTGTGAGAAGGGTGCTTGGTGAAAGAAATAAGAATGGAAGATTACCGCTGGATGAGGAAAATCGCACGGTCATGATGTGTGCGTTATTTTTTCTTTTAAAAGTGGCTTCATATGGAAAGCCTAGATTTTAGTGCATGTAATTAGGGGGAAACGGTTGAGAAGGGTATTATTGTAATCTTAGGTTGCTTTTTTTAAACGGTAGAATCATCCAAAAAAGAAACATTATTTCCATGTTTCTTTTTTTTTCTTTTTACAAATTCATTGTCAATAGAAAAAAGACTTGGAAAATGAGGCAGTATGAGTTTTTTATTTATTTAATTGTTTAGGGTGATTAAATAAAAAAATCTGGTGACATCTTGATATTTTTGTCTTGATGCAGTGTCTATTCTAAAGAATGCAAAATTTACATCTAAAATATGTAGACACAACTAATAACGAATGCACTGTAATAATCTATATATGCATTGAGATTTGTTCATTAGATTCAATTTAAATTTTATTTTATTAACTTGTAAATTAATGAACAATGACTCTTGAATGACTTTGTATCTGATTAGAAAGCATGAGAATGCATTATATTCAAAACCAAGGTAATACAAAATGGAGAAATAGTTAGCCTATGCGGGATTCGAACCCACATCCGTAGTACATACCGCTCTACCATTTGAGCTAATAGGCAACGATTTATTTTTTTCAAAGAGAATCTCAACTTGCACTTGGACCTATTAAATACCCATTATTATATTTTAAGATAGGCATCCTTCAACGTGTTTCTAATTCATATTCAAATGCATCATAGAATATTATGAATGCATCATTTTTGGCAAAAACTTCACTATGCACAGGATACAAACTCCATATTAAACCTTTTTAAATAACAAGTCGTAAAACTCAAATAATAAAGTGAAAAATACAAAGATGCTTGCCACTAATGAATACAACAAATGTAAAGTTTTGATTGATGAGAGCACTCTCTCGAAGAGGATATTAAACATAAAATGAAAATCATAATTGATTTAAAATTTTTATAAACAAATACTCTATATGTTATGAAAGAGAAAAATAATACAATACAAACAAGAGAGTTGAGAACCTAATCTGATAATTTGATATGCTGCAATGAAATAAGATTTAGAATTACCTATCTCCATGAGCGAATGTCGATGCTATGCATTTCAAAATCTAAAGTGCACACTACTAAACGCAATATTATACCTAATTAGTCAAGAAAAATAAAGTGCTTGGAAACTTGTAAGAAAGAGAAAATGTTAAGGAAATACACACGATATGCAGCAAAAAGACTAATAAAAGCATAAGGACTAACCAATGCTTATCTTTGACCATTTGTGCAGCACAATTCAATATAAATGCATTCAAATTGCATTTAAATTAGACTAGCTATAAAAAATCATGAAATACAAATTAAGTGAACAAAAATGGAAGAATAACAATGAATATAAAAGGCATACCAACACACAAGAACAGATTTTTTAAAAAAAAGAGAAAATGAAGAATACCAAAGTGGGAGGGCTCATGTGAATGAAACACAACACACACCAATTGTAGAAATATGATGATAGGAAGTAGCACAATGCCATTTTAATCAGCAAGAACACATTGAATAATCAATTGGAATAACCATCAAGTTTATTCTCAATGCAAGAGTGTGATATGAAAATGCATTACCTTGATTCCAATAATGCACAATAACATAAAGTCATAAACAATGCTTCAAAGGTCGAAGTGATGCATAAACACACTTCAGAATTTCGAAATAACATTCTTAAAACACTATGAAATCAACACTATGTGTTTATGAAATACTTAGAAATCAAAGTTAAAAACTGAATGAGAAAATCATGAACTAGTCAATAATTTGAAGATAGCATAAACTCACATAGTATGTTGTATGTTTATACTCTACCCGCACATCATTTAAGCATGTTACACTGCATCTTACATACTCAAAGATGCATATCAAGAGTGTATGTCATGCATTTAAACATGAAATAATCTTTCATTCAACTACTGTTAAAGTTTCAAATTGCACCTGTTTGCCTATAAGGCAATTTTACAAACAGCTTGTGTGCAAAAATTAAAAAAGGATGTATCAACTAAACATATATTGATCTTGTATATCATGAGAATTTTAAATAATTAAAATTAAGAAAATTAAAAAAAGAAAATTGAATCTAAGTAATTATTGCTTTTATAATCCTTATTGAAAAAATTGAATTAAAAAGCTAAAAAAAGTCTCCCTGTAGTATTTTCTTTTTCGTTAGGATAGACCAGCGCGAAACCAAACCTGTAATTTCTTCTCGCCGGAATCATCCTCTGTCTAGCCCTTGTGCGCCATCACCACCGTGCACGCCCTTGTCAGAATTCATGCCTTGGTTGAACCCTAGGTCTGCGCGTCGGCTCGATGTGTAGATTTAAAGTGACAGAGTGAAAGTGAGGATTGCTATGATACAAGAGGCGGAGGTTTGAGATTGGAAGCAGAAAAATTGATGCGTTAAAATGAGAGAGAAAGAGCAATACGGATCCATAGATAGCGAGAAAATCCCGGAAGCATATAAGAGAGAGAATGAGATCGATGGGTGTGAGACGTGTAAACCCCAAAAAGCCCTTGAAGACTAGGCGCAAGAAAATGCATGCGTGATCAGATCTAATGGTGGAGAGACATTCTTATTTCTTTCATAAGATCTCTTTCGAACTGGAACCAAACTATATATATATATATATATATATATATATATTTATATTTATATATATATATATATATATATATTTATATATATATATATATATATATAACTTCAACACTCAATTTAGATACTATTTGATTCAATTATTTGGGTATAATCTGAAATAACTTTAATCTGAAAACGTGTTTCACATGATTATCTCAGTTTATCAAGCTTTCCTCACGTTTTTCTTATTGCTATCATATATCTAATGATATTGAAGAGTGTTGTCACTCGTGAATTTAATTTTCTAAGGAGCCAAGGAGGAGCTATGTGGAGCTAAAGTTGACTAGAGGATCTTTTTGCTTTCTTTTTTATGTGATAATTAAATTATGAATAAAATTTGTGACTTAAAAGAGTTTACTTGATGATGTGACAAAAAAATGATGTGTATGTTGTAATGCCTTGAATCTGATCCTTTACAGCTCCAAATCCGGAGAAGTCCAACTTCTGAGAAATCCGGATCCGGAGAAGTCTGGCTTCTGAGAAATCCGGATTTCCGGAGTTCCGGAGAAGTCGAGAAATCCGAATTCCGAGAAATCCGAATCTTGAGAGATCCGAACCCTACTCTATTTGGGCTTTCTAATTATCTGTTAATTCTGTAGTTTGGGACCCAAGTCTGTTAGGGTTTAGCTAAGCACTATATATATGGGTGCTACCACAAACAATATATGGGGTATTCTGTATTCTGTTTTTGCCTCTCCAATCCGAAATCAAACTGCTCCCCTGTTGGACACGAGTTCAAACCCCTTTATTATTGTTTGGAATATTTTTTTGTTTTGATAAATGACAAACAGGATGATTAAATTCAATTGATATTCGAAAATTTATTTTTCGGATCGAGAAAAGCAACGAAGGGTATCAAGAAGTTTCGGCGATAAAAATCAACGCTCACCCCTACGCAGATTTTTGAAGCGAAGTGAAGACTCCGAAGACTTTTATTTTATTATTGAGTCTAGGAATATTTGTAAGGATGACAATAATTTTTGCATAAAAAAATTAATTTTTGAGGGATAAAAATTATTATTTTTTAAGTCAGTTGAAAAATTATTTTTCTCTGTCTAAAAATATTTTTTACTGAGTCAGTTTCAAAATAGTGTGTCGAAATTTCTTAAAATACTTTTTAAAGATGCACAAATTTTTTGTGGTAAGAAAAATATACTTTAAAGATTTTTCTTGTACATCGTTTGGCACACAAAATATTTTTGGGACTCAATTTCTACACCAAAATTCAAATTTTGAATTTGAATTAATTCATTCCAACCTATTTGGTTTGTTTGTTTTTGGGAGCCTTATCATTTTCAAATTCTTGTCCAAAACAAATCATTAAGCTCCAAAATATTACTCAACTCGCACACATATTTTGGGTCCTCATGTTTGGGGTTTGTTCGTTACAGGATCGATCCTTTTGTTTGGATCGATCTCCGTGTGAGAACCCTGGGAGTTGGATCGATCCCCACATTAGATCGATCACATCAATTTTGGATATTTTCTTCGGAGGATCGATCAACCCGTATGGATAGATCCCCCGTCACTTAATCTTATTTCGCTTCCCAAATTTTAACTCCTTTGGATCGATCCTTTTCCTTGGATCGATCCCCCGAAGCTTTGACAGAAAATCTTTTTCGATCCATTACTCTAGATGATCGATCCTTTGCCCTGGATCGATCCCCAACGGTCCAATCTGTCAAAAACACTTCATCCCTACTTCCAACGAATTTATTTCTTTTTCCCCTATAAATACACTCATCCTCCTTCATTAAAAATACATCTCTTGCACTCCAATATCTTCATTGATCAATATTCAATTCTTGCTTCCATCTTCCTCATCAAATATATTATTTTGAGAGTTAGAAATATTTTATTGAGTGCTAAA